GCGGACAAGAACCTTCATCCTCTTGAATTTTAATCCATAGGAAAAAATAACCTTTCACATTTAAGAAGAATATTAATCATGGACACAGAAAGCACCTTAATCACCGGGAAGTATATCTTAATCACGGGGAAAAGAGTCTTAATCACCGGGATGTATATCTTAATCACGGGGAAAAGAGTCTTAATCACCGGGATGTATATCTTAACCACAGGGAAAAGAGTCTTAATCACCGGGAGTCTATCTTAATCACGGGAAAAGAGTCTTAATCACCGGGATGTATATCTTAATCACGGGGAAAAGAGTCTTAATCACCGGTCAGTATATCTTAATCACGGGGAAAAGAGTCTTAATCACCGGGAGTATATCTTAACCACAGGGAAAAGAGTCTTAATCACCGGGAGTCTATCTTAATCACGGGAAAAGAGTCTTAATCACCGGGATGTATATCTTAATCACGTGGAAATAGTCTTTTTCACCGGGAAGTATATCTTTATCACGGGAAAAGAGTCTTAATCACTGCGATGTATATCTTAATCATGTGGAAAAGAATCTTAATCACCGGGAAGTATATCTTAATCATGTAGAAAGGAGTCTTAATTACCGGGATGTATATCTTAATCACGGGAATTGGGATCTTAATCATAGGGAATAAGAATAGCAGTCGCATGAATAGAAATAATTTTAAAAATCGAGAAACAGAATGGTAGACTAGAAAAAAAAATCATTATTTTATAAGATATTAGAATTTTAGTCATAGTGAAATTAACCTTAATCACCGGAAACTTGAATCTTGGTGGCAGCAAAGTAGAATCTTTTGTCTTCAAAGCGATCCAGAACTTTTGCAATTTGGTACTAAAACCTTAGTCATCGAGAATTTGAACATTAATTTTAGTCAGCGGGAATAAAAGCAAAACTCACTTGCAATCAATTTTTGTGAAAGTACTCCACAGAAATCGAAAAAGAAGAAAACTTTCGTGAATGCAAACAATTGAAATGAGCACGAGTATTTCTATCCTTTATGAGGATGCGGGTATAAAAAGCAGATCTCGTTGCTCGAAGAGGAAATAAAAGTGTAGTTGAGATGCTACTCGAACGTTGTGATAGTACCCAAGAGATCGCCTTGCAGTTAATACTGCCTGTCTGGGAGATATTGCCACATAAAAACATACTGAAAAGTCGGTGAGAGAAATACAAGTCATGCTATGAGCATTTTAACACATGAATGATACTGTGGAAAGCACTTTTTAGTTTTTATTATTTTTCGGACTTAGATGTGTCTGTTAACTGCCTCTATATCGCAATGAATTAAGCGGACTTTGCTCAATTCGACATTATGTTGTTGAATATATTTGTTCCAAATCTGGGCTTTCATCGGTAGATTGGTTTTGTATATATCTGTAGGGGAGATGAAAAAATACGGCGTTAACGACGTCGGGCCCAGGAAGGTATCCTTGTAAGATTACAATGCTCAATTCAAAATAATAATTCACTTGATTTGCTGTTTGCCAGATTTATCGCCCCGTAAACAGTCGGATCATTTTGTTGCGAGGTCTACTTATAGTAGGTGTCGGCTACCTCACAGAAAAACCTACGGAAGGTTCATCGCATGCCGTCCACAGCAATTAAGGGAAATTGTATTGTCCAAGACATTACAACATCAGGCTGCTCCATTTCTGTTCTCAACTTCGCGAGAAACAAAAAAATACCACAATAAAGAACAGAACTTAGAAACATAGACACGACGCTGTAGTGAAATGGGCTCTACCTATATTTTTTGCATATCAAATATATAAGATTGATCCCATTTGTCACCAACTCACAAAAATTACAGTTTTTTAGAAAGGTAAAATATATGTATTTGATTAATTTTTTATCTTAATGAAAAATTTCTTTTTTATGAATTTCAATTCTTCAACATTTGCCATACTTTCTATGAGGGTTGGTGTATTACAAGCTTTTTTCCCTCATCACTCGATGTTTTTTTCTATTATAACCGGCTGCCTCTTCATTATTTTTATGAGAACTGGTCTACTCCAAGGTTGTGTGCCTGGTTCTTCATTATTTTTATCAGAACTGGTCTACTCCAAGGTTGTGTGCCCGGTTCTTCGTTATTTTTATCAGAACTGTTCCACTTCAAGGTTGTGTGCCTGGTTCTTCATTATTTTTATCAGAACTTGTCAACTTCAAGGTTGTGTGCCTGGTTCCTTTATTATGTTTCATCAGAACTAGTGTGACCCACGGTAGTGTACATGATTATTCACTACTTCAGTTCTCCCAGTTTAAATGTTGAAATAATCAATTGAAATCTTAAATCAATTAACATTCTTCATGTCACGACAGAGTGACAGCTCGATCGGCGGTTTCGAAGTATTCGCCCATGCTAAAATGAGGCTTGCAAGATGACTTGACATTAACCGCTGCACCCGGGGAAAAAACCCACGTCTGGACATGAAATCGAATCCCGGTCGTCATTGCATAATGAATAACGGGTAATCACTGTGTCACATGACCCATTAATGTTCCTTTCGTAGTAGTAGACAATGAACGTAGCAGTATTAGTAATACAATATCTGAGGGCGATGAAGTTATGTTATATAAGGAACTTGACCACTTGTACAAAAGGACAGGAAAAAAATTGATCATTAACGCTCGAAGGACGCACTCGAAATCAATTTGCAACTTATAGGATGAGTTGATTATTGAATTATCGTTTAAATCAAAATCAATATTTAAAAAGACCAAAGATATTCAGGTAGCAATACACAGTTTCTCGGTGTGGCCATGGGTGATTTTTGTTCATTAGATTTCCCAATTATAAAGGCTTTAATTAAAATTTAAAAAAAAAATCTTGCTAAAATTGGTCTTGTCATCTTAAAGTGGACAATATGTGGTTTCGGGTTTTTCGGAATAATATTTAAAGAGCCAGACCCACTCCTCGACCGATATTATTTTATACAAAAAACAAAAAAAAAAAAAAAAATCATGATTTTCTATTTTTCTCGAGTAGCAAAAGTTCTGACTAATCCTGTAATACCACAATTTTAAAGGAAATCGCTACCAATCTAACGTAATAAATAGTTTAAAAAAATAATTCCAAACGACTCAGTGCTGATTCATTATTATGCGGGAAGTACTGCCCTCTGACGTATGCGCAAAGAACTTTAAATAAATCTGCCGTCTTCCAACATGGCAGAAAGCGTGCGTGGGAAGCAGGGAAGAAAACGTGTTTTGACGGACTCTGAGGCGAAAAGAAGGAAGATGGCTCTCTGTTAGGCTCTCTCGTGTAGTATCACTCTAAAATCATATTCATAAATACTCTTATCATCGACTATTCGCTTTAGACAGATCCATTTCGCGATATTCTATATGTTCGTTACCGTATCGTAGCCCCCATTTGAGGGCCTCTTTGCAATTAATCGTAGATTTTCTCGTAATCTGCACGTTTTTGTGTCATATCTAAGCATTGAAAGATGTGATCAATACATATGTTAGATGATTTCCATACAGGATATATTGAGTATTGATTGTATTTATCGGTAAAATCTTTTTACAAGCGATGTCACATGGACGTACTATTCACCTCTTCCTCCATTTTTGTTTTGGTTCTGAACGTATCACGGGACTTCTCATCAGTATTCATATCCTAGTGTTAATTAACGAGACTAATTCCGGCACCGATATCTCTGGTACCCTTTCAATTTCAAGTTCGAAACTTTTTATCATATATTATAACCAATCTGATATACCTGTATATCTCAAACATGACCAATAATTTCAGGAAAAATGCAAATTATCTGTTCCTGCTTCCTTAGTGTGGCAGTTTACTACGTAACATTTTTTTTAGTGATAATCAATGAATACATCACACAAAAATATTCACTTCAAGGTTTGAAATTTTCACCAAGATGAACAAACAAAAAAAAAGAGGATAATTATATCAATATCTGTAGTTATAAAAAACGAAGAATGAGATGACGATTCGGAAGGTTTTAAGGTATTACGATAAAGACTAGGTGAGAGAAAATGTCATTACTCCGCCATAAACGGGACCATACGACTTATTTGACGTAGTCAGATATTCACACGGACGCTGAAATAGGCAAATAAACATCGATTTGCTTTACTGCGATATTTCTAACTGAAACAGAGAAACACTTTGTAAATGTTCATGGTTAATTATTCATAAATCAAGCATACATCGTGTTGAGTTAAGCGTAAATATTCGGCAGTTCGCAATGCTCCTGTGGTTACTTTGTCACAAGGGCTATGTTGTGTGACATGGTGTACATATGGGTTAGGACATCGATAAACCACTTACCATTTTACCCTGGTATAATGAGGCCAATTATTTATAATTCTAACATTTTAACATTTCGCTATTAGCAAAACTAAGGAAGGAAGCCCATTCTCATGAAAATTAAACATCTGCCTGATTTCCTCCTATGTTGCCATATGACATATTTATTTGGTCTAAATGGAAGATGTTTTATAGAGTTGTTATCGTTCAATTGTTATCTATGGAAAACTCTGTAAAGTTGTAAGCAATGTCACTGAAATAGCATACTGATATATTCTATTTTACAGAACCAGATCAACACTTCTTAATGTATTTTATTTTTAATTTAGATATGTTTTTATACAATGAGTATAAAAGATTCTACATGAGACTTATCTGTCTGTAAAGTTCGTTGTTTGACTATGATGATATCTATTTCGTACGATATGTATAAATACCGACACTATTTTCAGGATAAGCAGTGTGCATTCAGAAAAAAAAAAAAAAAAAAAAAAAAAAAAAAACAAACCTATTACATTACATAAGTATATTTATAGTAAAAGTACAGTGTATTCAGAAACAGAAATCACATTATCTTCATAGTAATTTAAAGAATTAGATTAAAAAAAACGTGTTCCCTGAATTTGGTTACCTATTGCAAGTGAATAGTTATGGAATGTTCTCATCAGACAACAATAATACCACAGTTTACAGTAGGACCCCACTAAGATGCAGCACTGAACACAACAGCTCGGAGGTTACAAATGGCTTTATTTTTAGACGTAAAATAGGTAAGAGTGAGGAACATACCCTGACCTCTGATGTGACCTTTCGCTTGCTCTCTAGCTGGACATGCTACTAATGATGACCAAAGAGAAATGTCCACTAGTCGGGAAAAGTAAGTGGATCTGTTTTCTCAAATAACAACCACGACACAAGCTTTTTAACGTCAAGGAAAAATCTCACCCTTCTATCTCCTATCCAAGTAGTGTGCATTGACACCAACACTGCCCTTATGACCTAGTGACCTTTCGCCCTTATTTATAAACGGGAAGAGGTGCATTGTACTTTCCGCAACATAAACTACCCACACATATTTGAAAAGAACAATGCAAACAGTATAGATGATAAAAACATGACTAGAAATAGTGTTAATGAAAATTATGAGGTGCCTCTAATTAAGAGTAGTTATACTCTACAGCTGTATAGCGTAATTTTCTGGAAACGTATACTAAACGGACTAACACATGACATAAATCAGGTATCTGGGAATTGTTTCTGGAATTAGTTAGACTTAATTAGTAATAAAAGTCCCAATCACCATTCACAAAAGATAATGTTACAGGTTTGTACGTGGTGTATGTTTCCATTGAGATATATGACATAGTAAGACCCTACAGTAAGGTAGCATAAACTGTAGTGTTAAAACTGATCAGCCGACAAATCAGCCTCGTTCTGAATATTATTCGGTACTTACCTCTATTTCCCTTCTCTCCTGGTGGGCCTGGCTCCCCTGTCGAAGTAGAGGTAAAAATTCATCATTATGATACACAGGGTTGAAAGCAAAGTCAATGTAAATCACATATAACAACATACCACTACATAGTCAAAAAATTGTAAAACCGTTTTTTTATTCGCTCGTGTGAGAAACATTGAAACTGTCACACCATATTACGGTTGTATTATGTGTATATCGCTATGTCAAGCACGTGTTTAGCGTGGAGAGAAGGCAAATGTCTTTTGTCCCGATGATACTGTGAAGGGGAGGGGAAGGACGACGTAGTAAGTAATGGCTGTATAGAGGGACGACTTGGTTAGCAGTGAATGGATAGTGCGACGACTTTGTAAGTAGTGGATGTAAAGAGGGACGACTTGGTAAGTAGTGACTGTAAAAAGGAACGACTTGGTAAGCAGTGGATTATAGAGGGACGACTTGGTAAATAGGGACTGTATAGAGGGAAGACTTGGTTGTTAGTAATGAATGGATAGTGGGATGACTTTGTAAGTGATGACAAGATAGTGGGGCAACTTAATAAGTTTGAGTGGATAAAGGTCGACTTGGTAAGTGTAACTGGATATTTTTTGATGTCTTAGTAAGTGGTCAGACGTTGTAATATATCAAAATATAAAAAGATAGAGAATCAAACGATTAGTGTTGGCTAAATTGGGGAATCTTGTTGTGTACAGAATCTGACGGATTAGTGGTGGCTAAGTACAGAATCTGACAGGTACAGAATCTAACGGATTAGTGGAGGCTTGGTACAGAATCTGACGGATTAGTGGTGGCTAAGTACAGAATCTGACAGGTACAGAATCTAACGGATTAGTGGAGGCTTGGTACAGAATCTGACGGATTAGTGGTGGCTAGGTACAAAATCTAACGGATTAGTGGAGGCTAGGTACAGTATCTGACGGATTAGTGGTGGCTAGGTACAGAATCTGACGGATTAGTGGTGGCCAGGTACAGAATCTGACGGATTAGTGGTTGCTAGGTACATAATCTGATGGATTAGTGATGGCTAGGTACAGAATCTGACGGATTACTGGTGCCTAGGTACAGAATCTAACGGACTAATGGTGGTTAGGTACAGAATCTGACGGACTAATGGTGGTTAGGTACAGAATCTGACGGACTAATGGTGGTTAGGTACAGAATCTGACGGATTACTGGTGGTTAGGTACAGAATCTGACGGACTAATGGTGGTTAGGTACAGAATCTGACGGATTACTGGTGGATAGGTACAGAATCTGACGGATTACTGGTGGATAGGTAGATTACAGATTAGATTAGTGGTGTTAGATAGAAAATCGGTCAGTTTCTCATTTCAATGTGCAACAACCTTAATCCTATGTAAGCCACCGCCCTTAAAAAACCAAACGGATGAGTATTAGTAATAGTTAATGGATAAGACCTGAATGTTCGTTAGATAAATGATGTATATAGCCGAAAATAATGCGCCATTATTCCGATTAATTACGACGATCACAGTAGTCATATTGAGGTTATAACTGCCTAACTGCCCTTTATTGTACAAATTAAATGCCAAATGAATCTCAAGGCGCTTGCTTAACTAAACTTCACGTAATCCGGAACAAAATTAAAACAAATATTTAATTAATGATTAAATTCTTAATTAACATTTCCAAATAAAAAGATGTTTTGTGGAAGGCAGATTGAATGTTACGTAGAAAATTGGAGTTAGAAATAACAAAAGGATCAGCTGTAATGTATCAATATTAAGGTGAGAAATCATGCTTCATTTAAATGTTGAAAAATATTTATTGACATATTTTAAACTATGCTGTATTTGCCTGTTATTTTTGTTCTAAAAATAACCTAAACATTGATGTTAAATATTTACAATTTTCAAAAGCAACACACCTACTAACAGGTAATCGGTAGATGTGGTAAGAAGCATCTTAAGTTAAGAGTATAATACAATGCTATACCTGTAAAATACAATGTTCATCACGCTCTTGTCATCAATTATATGTTAAAGTTTTGTACTCACCCTAGACAATGTTTGATACTCACTCTATACAATGTTCGATACTCACCCTATACAATGTTTGATAGACACGCTATACAATGTTTGATACTCACCCTATACAATGTTTGATACCCACCCTATACAATGTTTGATACCCACCCTATACAATGTTTGATACTCACTCTATACAATGTTTGATACCCACCCTATACAATGTTTGATACTCATCCCGTACAATGTTTGATACTCACCCTATACAATGTTTGATAGACACTCTATACACTGTTTGATACCCACCCTATACAATGTTTGATACACACTCTATACAATGTTTGATACTCACCCTATACAATGTTTGATAGACACTCTATACACTGTTTGATACCCACCCTATACAATGTTTGATACACACTCTATACAATGTTTGATACCCACTCTATACAATGTTTGATACCCACTCTATACAATGTTTGATACTCATCCCGTACAATGTTTGATATCCACCCTATACAATGTTTGATACTCACCCTATACATTGTTTGATACTCACCCTTGTTTTTGACGTTACAATGATCATATAGTGCCGTACAATACTCCACGAACTCCGCACTCTACAAAACAAAAAGAGATCATTGCATGAATAATTTACTATAAAACCTCAAGTCAATATAAATTCTTCAGAAAATTGTCTCTCTGCTTGAAGACCAATAATGGCCACACTAAAATTTCAACGATAATAAGTTCTTTGTCATTAACCTATACATGAAACACTTAACAATCTTCCAAAAAATAAAATCATAAGAGTATTCGCACTCGTCTATGGTGTCTTGAGATCCAAAAAAAGATGGACAAAATTACAACATAGAAAATATTGAAATGTCAACCTAAACTTAGTTCAATCTCAGTTTAAATAAACCAGGACAAGCTGTGAATAAAAGACATAGTTCTACGGAAATCCCTGCAAGAATACAAAAGTGCAAGATCATGTGCCCCGGAAGGGTAGATCGACGACACCCGACATATAAATCTTTATTAGTGAAAAGTAAGTAATCCCGCATTTTCAGGTGAGAACAAGGTTATAAGCAATGGAGTTACCAGACGTACAAATAGATTCAATGGCGTCCAAATTCCCTTCGCGCAATGAAATAGATTATTCCTAACTGAAATAAATATGACGGGTACAAACCGTCCCAATAAACTACATCACCGAGCATTTCTCTTGTAATTCTATGCTGTGAGATTGTTTGCCAGTCGTAGATAATTGCACGAAAAATCGTATCACTTGAACAAATCCCTGTGTATTTCGCATTAACACCAACACGTAAAACCTAGGTTTGGGAAGCGAGATGTAACTATCTAGAAATATGAAGTTAGCAACAGGACAAAAATAACGCTTATCATACATACAACTTGGTAGAAAGAGTCCCTGCTAATTTCGTAACAGATCATAATTATGATAAGTGAATAAAGAGATAATTTAGGACGAAGATGGGGGAATAGAAGTACCAAAAAGCAATGCCAATTTCTGTAATATCTAAAGGAAATCGATTTAAATCCCGATATTACATTGCTCGCCTTTATGATCACGAAAAAAGCTTATAATACAATTTCCTTTCCCACGTTCTACATTGACTGTAAATAATAGATTTTGTTCTACTATAAAGTCTTCGTTATTGCTACGAAGAGCATCCTTTGCAGACGCCATTGTTGCTGTTGTTGTACTTTTGCTAAGGTCAGATGTAGAATTAAAGAAATGCAATCAAAATTTGTTGCCAGTCATGGCATTTAGTAGAATAAAGGAACGGTTTAACAGCGACCAGGATAATGATGATTACAGGTTTCGTGAACCTTACTGGAAGTTATCGTTTTTTATGATAGATATCTTGTACTGTCATGGCAATGCCATAGACCTGTTGATACCACAAGCTGTAAACTGTTACGTCATCCTGTTGTAGAGTTCCCGAATACCTAGAATGTGATGTCTGGAGATAACGTAAGAGGCTATAGGTTCAACACCACTTGTGTTCAACAAGTCTTTTAATGTATGGTAAGGATTGTACAAAAGACACAAGTGAATTCCAACTTTCAAAGTAGAGCCAAACAATACATTAAACTGAATCACACAACTGTTTATTACTTTAGGACTTGCTAGACACACAAGTGAATTGCACCTTTCAAAGAAGAGCCAAATAAAATTTTGAAATGCATCACACCGCTGTTTGTTCTTCTAAGACTCGTCAGACACACAACTTTCAATACAATCTCAGGATTAGATATACTACCGCCATACACAATGTAATGAATTAAACTACATCACACAGCTGCTTCTTTCTTCCGGAACTCGTCACTTATTCCTTTCGGACGAAGTGAACTTTGCTTTAGTTTTTTTTAAATATTGTAAAACATCGTAGGATTCCTGATTATCAAGAGTTCATTTAAATACCTAAATCATGTCTTATTACTCTTGGGCTACCCAAGACCAAGATTGGTGAAGTCATGAGAAAAAAAACTTAAATCAGCATTGATATATATATATATACCTTGTCGTTAAAACAATCCATATATAACCATTCTATATATAGCTATATATTTACTTTTACACTAAACAGTGGTATCTACATGAATGCTTTTAATGAAGCGAGATTTTCTTGTCATTCTGTGGAACGTGATGGGAATTCTCCTATCAGTACAATGGCATGACGTCACAACAACAATTCAACAACGCCAAGCATTAAAATAAAAAAAAAAGAACGAATATATAAGCCCAAAGAGATACAGTTACTCCCTTCAGGGCGAGATGGAGTGATCTCAACTCTAGTGGAAAAATATTATGTTGGGAAACCTCATCTTTAATAATCTTTCCCCTCGGATTGAGACCACCTTATCTTACCCCAGCGGTGAACGATCCTATACATCGCTCTATGGCTACCAATACCCACATGTACCCAAGTGATATATAGATTGTAGTCCAGGCTTCTGTCTCTATAATATCTCGGGACTACACATGGATAACGTTGTTAAATGAATTATATTCATTCTATCGCCCTGGTAATTTTCATTCTACACAATTTACGCCATGTTTTCAAAAAAATCTGAAGTGATGAATCACGTGTCTCATTATTGCTGGAGATATTTTTATGAACAGAAATGTCCACGTGACGTCTTGTACCTGAGAGATTCAAGTTTTAAACCTAGTGTTGAGAAGACCAGAACTTTAACAAATACATAGAGACAATTCACAGATTAGTTATCTGACCTAGAATGTTCAACTATCATGCACTTTGCATGGTGAGATAATCTTTAACACATATATATTTGTATAACTTGGTGAAAAAAGGAAGTAATATAAGACTCAAGTGTTTCCTTGTATCAATAGTTTTTGTTTTATGATATTCATAAAAAACATTTAAACTTAAAATTGTCAACGCTTTAAACTCTGATATACAAGCTAATTCATTACAAAACTGCATTAAAACACATTGGCCTTGGTGAAACAGTTGCTATCGTTGAAATAGCAAAGTGTGTGTATGAAAAAAAAAAAAAAAAGTTAAAACTCTTGGTGTATAGAGTAATAAGATTATCTTTAGGTTTGTTAAAGAAAAAGAAACGATGAGTGAAATATTATTTTTATGAATAATTGTATCATATAAACGATAATTCATGCTTCCATTCATAAATACCTTACAATTCTCTCTGTTGAAATCACCAAAGCATTAACAGCACGGAAGTCTTTAACTAAACAAAACATATGACGAAGTGAAGTATTTTTTGTTGCCGTTTTATCTATGCGTATCATCTCCAGGATTAATGTCGGTGTTGAAGGTGAATGAGTACACACGAATCTGTAAACTTGATTCACCGAGTAAGGACACGTCAGCACCGAGTATTGTATTGCGTATCTCTGACAACACGCAATAATGCTTAATTCTGGCTATCATTTAATGAAACGTTACATGTCATGTGATCAAACCGCGGGGCTGTAATCCATTCAGTCTGGCGGAAGTGATAGACATATCAACATCCGTCGCATGAAGGTCTGAATTTGTCGCCAAAGATTTGCTAGACTACCCAGATGCCAAGGCCAAGCTATCTAGATGTATAGGTGATTAGTTTGTATATCTGTGGGTAAATAAACATATTGAAGGCCACAAGGTAAATGAGACAAGTTACTATAAACTAAATGAAATTATTACATGAATTTAGAAATTTCAAGAGCCACTGAAGCGTAATAGTGCTTCACAATCACATCCACTCATCGCATACTGTTTATAGGTGCATGAAGAACCACCACGATAACAATACAGATAAAAAACACGTGTTTTCTTCTGTAGCGCACTATTGTCGATTTTAAGTGTGACTATTTTTTTAACAGACTAAACCTTATCATTTCTAGCTGCTTTTACAGAATATTACATCGCAAAAACTGCTCTCAATCATTTCCTCTATCACGAGTCATATTGAAATCTTGGCTTCAGAAGCTGTTCCCACGGTAACCGATCCCGGACAATTACTGTCTTGTATGGCTTTAAGTGAAGATAATTAAAGGAATTCATCCACTTGGCAACGTCATTAAACACCATGTTACAAATATACTGGCAAATATGGCTATAAATAACACAGAACTGTGTTATCTCCAGATCATCTTAATTCTGTGTAACGTTTCATTACAAAATGCATTATAAAAATCTCCAACGGCATCAACAGAACGTTGACGGAATCCAAGACTTGTTTCAGAAATGATTTTTCTTTCTTGGAATAAACAAAATAAATGTGAATAGAAACACCAGTCAACGTGGAGTATCCTTCACGTTGTTTATGTTAGATAAGAACAATGGCCAAAGCCACAAGCCGTCGATTTCACCCAAAGAAAAAATCTCAATTTGTTCTCAAGTATAAAATAAGTGAGATTTCAAATCCTTTCCATCAGAACACTCATCAGCAAAGTACAACGTTATCGATGTTTTTATTCAGTTCGTATGTAGGGACAAGTCTCTTTCGATAATGTCGCGTCACTGTTTGTTTTCACATGTAGCTGGATTCAATGAATGTTTATCCCAGAAATGTTAGTTTTAGGCGTTTCCAAAATAAAACACGTTGCACTTAGATCTTCAGCAACAATGTCAAAACATTAATTATATCCCTTTTATGGGATTAATGTATCTCCTCATTTATATTTTTATAATTCTCTCCATCAATTTTAATTTAACAATCGCCTCCTGGGTTTCAAAATTTAAGCCTTAGTATCATTGACGAGTCCTAGAATAACGAAACAGCTGTAGGATGCAGTTTTATTTGCTATTTGTTTCTGCTGTATTTTATCAAAAATTTGTATAGAAAAGAAAAGTGCTAATAACTTGTGTGTCTTTTTTCATGTTCAATTGCCAAACCATTTATGATAAACACAGCGTGGACAATAGTGTCGATAACCAGGAGACAACGTGTACAGTTTGAAGGCGAATGAAATTTGTCTGTGCTTTGTTAAATTTTTAAAATTTATATTTTCTATAGATATCAAAAGTCCTGGTTTGGTTATGATGTACATTGTGTGTTAATATATCAGGGTTCGTCCATTGATCGCGTAGATAATGCAAAAATATTAAAACAATACAAA